TCAAACATCGGAGTTCTGCCCTTTCTGCTTCTGCATGGCGTTACAAAACCATTTGAATTTTGAATGACAACATTATCAATGCAAGTAGTGTGGAGAAGGGAAGTAAAAAGAAGAATTTAGAACAGTTTTCACTAACTATTGTTTTGTAAATGCAATCCTGTAGTTTACATCCAGGAACAGGAGTGGGTATAAATACACAGTATAAGTAGTAATGGGGTTGCTAAATACGACTCTATAGAAATCAAAGTTCCTAAGAAGCTGTCAATGTTCACTGCTCCACCATCTTCATGTGCAATCATCTCAAACTTTTTTATTTTAATTTAATCAAAGGGTTGACTTTTGCATTCATATTGTGAACGCTGCACCATTCAGAAGAAACTGCTTTTCTATTGTTGGTAAAATGCTCGGTTTGCCGTGGACAAATGTCTCCCTTCATCAGGCTATTGTTCAACTGGATGGACTGAGGAATGATGTTTGCCTCACCATTGACAGCTCTGGAAATCCCTCCAACACGACATTGATTTCTGGGTTGAAAGCTCATGCATTCATGAATAGCAGGCAGTGCTAATTCTCATCTGAGCCACAGTATTGAACAAGAAGCCATAGCATCAATAGTCCCTGATTACCCCAAACCTCAGTGCCTAAATTACAGTTCACATCTATAACAATTACAATCGTGTCCAAGGATGTTGATCAATAAGCAGTGTGTTGATGCTGCAGCGCTTAATCAGCACATTTGCTGCCTCACACTGAACACTTTGGGTTTTTGTTATTTTTAATTGACACAAAGGTTGTCTCTAGTTAAGTGTTAGTTTGTGTTATGATTTAACATCCATTAGGGGAGAGAAGTTGTGTAATGTTACTTGTTTGAGTGAATCACACAGGAACTGTGTGAAAAGTGCCTATAAAAGCCTACATTTAGTTTTCTCTTTGGTGCTGTTAGGACCACTTTGAGCTGAAGAGCCCCGTAGGCACAAAAATGGGTCAAGGGCGACGCCTGTGCACTTTAGCTTCTCAAATGTCAGCACCGTCTCGTATTTTAACCTTAGAAATATCTGCCAACACAAAGAAACTTTAGCATTTAGTTTTTAAATCTGCAAACTACAAGCATTTTATTTATTTTTTTCAGTCAGCAATGATTGTTCCATCCCGGAGGAACCAAGGGCTGCTGAAAGCTGGATTTATCTTCTTCAAAAGAAAAATGACTATTTATAAAAGAAATATTGATGACCACAGTAGTTAAAACACAAATTATTCAGCAACCAAGCAGAAAATGTTATATTACTGTTGATTTTCAGAAAAATCTAAGTTGTCAAATTTTAGTGGAATTGGTGTGCACAACAATGGTCAAGTTCTGTGCAATAACATATTACTACTTCATTTTCAAAGATAGATAAGTTGTATGTTACCTTTAATGGGTCATCACAGGTAAATCATCTGCCACATAGCATGTAATACTGACTGTATTTTACAAATATAAAACTAAAATATCATCTGTTGATAAGGGTTCAAGTAAAACTTTACTGAGACACAACATGATGTTTCCCAGTGCAAAAATAATATTTCCTTTTTTGCTCTTTAATCAAACAATAATATACATACAACAACCAAATACTGAAGAAAAGATAATATAACTTAATGTTATATTCTAGTCCTATTAATTCTACACAGTTCTATCTTGTCATTTCGGTACATTCCTGTTTTGTCCAGTGTCTATAGTAGGAACTATACAGAAATAGCCACTCATAATTACCGTAAATGTCAAATGGATTTTCATCTATTTATCGTCCATCGATTAACTAAATGTTAAGGGTCACAGTGGAGGAGATGAAGCACGTTTCAGGTGTCTCCTAGTCCAATATGGGTCAAACAGAAAGTAGGCATTCACATCTGAGTCCCTATGGATCCTAGTATAAGGAATAAGAAAATAAGAAATATAGAAAATAGGAAATGAACCAAGAGGAAATCCAACCAGAGGGTGAAAAAAAGGAACATTAATAAAGGGACCGAGTGAGAGCTGGAGGAAAAAAACAAAAAGGAAGATTTGACACAGTTGGACATGGACACTTTATTAGAGTCAGAAATACCATTACACAAAAACAGAACCAATCACCGACAGTTGAGAATTGACAGGATCTATAAACAGAAACAAAACACAGTCTGCGTTGAGAGAGTGTGTGTGTGTGTGTGTGTGTGATCTCTGTCTCAGTGGGTCATTTTCCAGGACCTTATTGTTTAGGAAAGTATGTTGAGGCTTCAGATTTGGTCTAAAACTAGGATTGGAGGTTAAAGTCAAATTACAGTTTGACTGAGGATCAGGATTAGGCCAATATTTGTAATTATTAGGTTTCAAAACACAAAACTGTGTGTGTGTGTGTGTGTGTGTGTGTGTGTAAGGCAGAGAAAAACAGCACAGAAAAAGAGAGAGAGAATAATAAGCCATATTTTACATTATCACATAAAATACTGAAAGCCAGTGATTTTCTTTTCAGCACGGAAATCTACATGCACATCTCTTTTAGATTTTACAAACGTCTGCCAAGTCAGAGGAGGTAAACAGTGACTGTGACAACAATCATAATAGCAGTGAATCTGCACTGACATGAGGAAGGCAGACCCATTGAACCTCCTGCGTCTCCGGCATGAACCAGTGCAGACCACTGTACTGCGCTGCACATTCCAACCAACGAGTAAACAGCGAAGCCTCACAGCATCACAAAACGCACAAACGTACGTGTCGAGAACACGAGGAGCAGCCAAGACCATCACGCTGAATATTTTACACACATTATGATTCGTGACACTTTCATTGCTGCAGAAGGTACGATGCTGACTGCAGGGAAAACCATCATTTACTGTATGTCCACCAGTCCAACTCTAACAAGGTCAAACTAACCAACGATACATCACTTCAAAGACTTTTCATTACCTTTTTTATCTTTATACAGACAATGTTTGGGAGAGATATACTGCCCACTCTCACATTATGTGCACACACACAGATACTGTACATTCACAACACACTTAAGGCAATGGTGGCCTGTCAACCGTGACAATTCAGGTAATAATTTTACCCTTATGAGTTCCTTCATTCTTTCTTTCCAGTTCATCTTCACATACAGTACACACTGAACAACCAATTAATAAATAACAAACAGCTCAATTGGGTTTTTTTAATCACAAAAAGTTGATAAATTGTTAATGCTTGTTTCTTAAACAATTTGGACTAATATGTAGTCAACATAATAACTGACACACAGGAGAATAAAGCCCTAATAAAGAGAATAAAGTATTTATCAAATACAAAAAATAAATTATATTTTCCAGATGCTAATTCTTATATACTTATATACTTCTTATATACTCCCGGGGCAGGAGACAACAGCACCCACACTAATCAGATGCAACCAAGAACTTAATCTTTGTCCCTATGGTCCACAGTATTACCTCAGCCCACATGGATCATGATCATATAAACGTTGATCATGTTGATCATCATATAAAAGTTCACAATGACTACACAGGTCATCAGCCTGGTCCATGTACCATAAACAGCCTAAACAGCTATTAAAGACAGTCATTTTATGAATTTGTAACAGATTTGTTTCAACAAATATTTCTTCTTTTTTTTCACTCGTCAAACTTTACTGTGACGTTACTGTGTCACTGTTATGAATAAGACAAGGAAACAGCAATGAGGCACTTACTAACAAGACAACATTACCATTGTATAAACAGAAAAACATGAAACAATTCAATGTTTATATTATTTTTATATGCATTTCTATGGCTACATCACGACTACTGAGGTTTGCTTATAAAGAAACAAACTTTGCTCAAATACTGACACCTACTATATAAAGACCCTGTTGTATGTGTAAACACATACAACTTAAAAATAATAAAATATAGATTTGACGATTGTTAGCTATAGCTAAAAGCTAACACTTTAAGCTAAACACAAAGACAACACTTCTTTATTTACATAAGCTGTCATCATGGTGGCGCTGTTACATTAAAATACAATCTAAAAAAAGGTTTGACCTGGTATAGTATTTCTTGTGATTTGTTACTTGTTACTTATGCTGTGACTCTCAAATAATACAACTTTTGAGAATAGCACATTGATATCGTTGTCGTGTTTTTTCAGCGTCAGTAGGAGTTAAAGTCAGGGACCGCTAATAGTTAAATAGGTTTGAAAGGTTACTCTTGTTTGTGCTGCATTGTCAGCTAAAAATGAAACATTTGGTTCAATTTTATATCATTTTAACAAAAAAAAAAAACGCTCTCAACATGTCAGTTAATTTAAAGATAATAGTCTGGCATACAATATTTAAGATTTGCATTTTCTTCTCCCCTCCCTCTCCCTCTCTTTATATATATATACGTTTATTTATATATATATATATATTACGTTTGTTGAAAATACACAGTAGTTTAACAGGTGCTCTGTATAACTATCTCTGCTTAATATTGACATATACAGTTTGATGGCCTGTACATTCTTTTCACATTGGTGAGGATCTGTGTTGCTGTAGTAACTGTGTCTCCTCGTCTCTGCGTCTTACCTCCTCAGCAGGCCGCCGTGGTGCTGACTGTGGTGTAACTGAACTTAGACATGGACGCCGCCGTTGCTATAACGTCTTCCTCGTTGTCCCGCAGCCCACGACAACGGCGGCGGTTACACGGGCCGGCGCAGCATGAGAATGTGGCGACAACAGCTTTGCGGAAACGCGTGTTCATGAAGCAGTAGATGATTGGATTGACGCAGGCCGAGGTGTAAGACAACAAGTGAATGAACGCGATCGGGGTTCCTGTGAGAGCACGGTTGGCAGAGGCTTTATTAAAAGCTCGCCATGTGTTGACACAGTAAAGCGGCATCCAGCAGAGAAAGAAGAGAACCACGATAATCACCAGCATACGGATGACTCGCTTTTTAGCCTCAAATTTGGCCTCAGAAGTGTTGCTTCTTAGCTGCTCAGCTTTAACTACTCTGCCCGATGAAGCCATGGTGGTCATCTCCACAGAATGTGGCCGTTGGACCTTGTGAACGTAGCAACCGTCCCCATCATCACTGCCATTGGACATGGTAGGGCTGAGGCCATTCTTCACATCTGTATGGAGGAGAGATGTGAAGGTGAAAAATAGTTTTTTTTTTTTAATTATTAGAATAAAAACACGGAATAAAACACTTTTATTTTAATTTTCTTAATTATAATATAATTTTCACTTAAAGGTGGACAATAAGGTGAACAGAAATGCAGTTATAGGTCCACTGCTGGGCACAGGGTTGGCTGCAAAAAGAACAAACGCAGCCAAAAACGTTTGTTAACAACTCTGTCATTTTTCCCCAGCAGTCATTTTGACAGTATTCCCTTTACGTCCATTCTGATGTTTTCTCTAATGTTGTGTGAATACAATTAGAAATAAAACACTTTACCTCTTGTGTATGCCATTAATTGAAGCAGAAGTGGTAAAAGTTAGTATGGCCAAAAAAGCTGCAATCACTGCATCTTTATCAAAAACTCCATAGAAATTTCACATTTATTCCTAATAATATACTGCTGCTTCTTTGTATTTTTTAATTGCACTTGCAATCTGCTTGATTTCAGCTTTGCTCTTCAAGCAAAAACTTTTTGAAAATCCCTATTCGATATCAATGCAATCTCAGTGTCAGATTTTACTGCATTTACTATTTTCTTTAAAAGCTGCGTTCAGTGGATATACAGTAGCTCCAGCACAGTGACAATGTTGAATGTCCAATGTCCTGGTTTGTGTAATATGGACATGCAGTATACAAGTGAATAGAGCTGCGTGTGGAAAGTGTCTGTAATTGGTTACAACCCTGTCTGACAAATTGGCTACAATTTGTTTTGCCTTCCTCATAATAAAAATAATTTGCAGTAAGGTAGCAGCAGAGCTCTGTGATTACACGTTAATCTATTTCAGTTATTTTGAGTGAACGAAACAGAGCCCCTCAAAAAGAGCAGCTGCTCTACCTAATGAACAGGAATGGACCAGAGTTATGTTTGACCCACAGCAATAATTAAACATAGCTGTGCACAATGTGGTTGCTTAATGAAAAAAAACTTTCCATGTAGGAGGCACTGTATGAACTGAATGCAACAATAATAGTCAAATATCAAGCAAACACAAACAGGATTTTTTTTTTTTAAATGTCATACCGGCCCTGATTTCTATGATCGTTTCTGACTATTTTCATTTCCTCATACACAGGTGTGTACCATTAGGATACACCCATAAAAAATATAATATCTACAACTATGTCTGAATTAAGCCTGATATTACTGTATAAAATGTATAGTATATAAATGTAATTTTAAATCATATTTCACATTACTGTACCCACCAAGGGACATGGGTGTAGTAATCCCAGCTGAATTTAGCTAAGTCAATGCTAAACTATGGAGTCATCAGTCTATATATTCTGGAGTCTGTTCTATTCTGCAGGTTCTGTAAAACAAAACAAAAAACACACAAACAGAGTCACTCACTCTGTTTGTGTGTTTTGTTACCGTTTTGTTTTTGTTGTTTTTGTGTGAGAGAAAAGTGTGTTGAGAACAGTGAACCACAGTTTTTTGTCTGGACATCCAGTGTGGCCTCTATTAGAATTGATTTATATTATATATATTTATATGGATAAAGCAAACAAACAAACAAACCAGAAGAAACAGGTGACCCCGACCATTTCCCAAGCTCTAACCAAAGTCCCTAAGCATCCCCAATAAACACACGCAGGCCCAGATTTGCTGGCTGACAATGTTTTTTTTTTTTTATTATTATTTATTTTCTTTGTTGTTTGCCACTCCTGTCTTTTACGCATCTGATGTGTGGCCTCACCTGGAGAGTCTTTTTTATGGCCCATCTCGAACCGGATGCCTTTGTAAAGTTCCCTGGAGATCAGTCCATAAGCTACAATCATCACCACCCCGGGGATTGCAAACAGCACAAGCAGGAGCAGAATGTACCTGGAAAAAATAAATTGATTTATTCCAAAAAATACCATATGTCTGTATCTAATGTCCACAGATAGATACTGGTACCATGTATGGAAGTAACAGAAATACAATATTGAGAAGCACAACTAAAGATTTCAATTTTCCACTGCAGTACATAAGCACTATTAAAAATGAAAGACTGCACACCATCCTGCCATTGAATTCTCTTCAGTTATATAAACGATCAGGTTTGCTGTTTTTTTTTTTTTTTAATTGATCCTAATCTATTCCGTCCTCAGCCAGGGCCATTGGCATCATCTCACATTGCCTACAGCTGAATCCACCTATGTCTACGGTATCTTTAAAAGTTGCTGAGGAATACTTATACATTCATTAAAACACACAATTAATGCCATTGTCTTTCCAGACACATTCGCATACGCCCAGGAAAGGTCAGCTTAGAATTAACTCGCACACATTAAGGCGACGGTGAAGCTCATAAAATCCTTGCGATCAAAAAGAAATTCCACATCATTAACGTCATCTTTATTCATTCATCGTTAACCTCTATAACCCAGCAGTGAACGCTGGGGGGAGCGGGATCCAATTCCAGCTGACGTCTGGTGAAATCAGTCCATCACAGGGTGACATATTGGGCCAAACAACTATTCCTATTCACTCCTACAGTCAGGTGCAGAGTCCCTAATTAACCTGGAGTTTAATCTTCATGTCATTTGGAGACTTTAATCCACAGGGATTAGGAATAACCTTACAGGTTTAAGAAAACACCTTTTTAGTGGTAATGAGTACAAAATGTTCTTTCAATATAACCCACAGATTATAAAAAAAGAAAATGATCCTCTTCAGTCATTTTAGTTACTCAACATATACCAAATAGTGCTATGTTTATTAGCATACATGCTACCCAACCTGACTTTATATTTACTTGTTTTTCTTTATTATTGCAAGTGACCAGACATTATCTGTATTTAAATATTCACTAACAGGATATAGACCCAGTAGGAGGCAGTAATACAATTAATGAAGCCTCTAGGAAGAAGAAGCCATTGAGCTAGTGTTAGCCTGGATAGCCAAACCTAGCTTAGCCTTAGGAGAAACTAACTTTTATAAAGTCTGTGGCTTAAAAACTGTTTTGATTGCAAAATTACATTAAAAAACATTAAGGAAATAATTCAGTTGTAAAACTTTTCAAAAGGCTAACTAATATTTTACAATGGGAATTAGTTGTCATTAGGTAAAGGCCTCAAAAGAGCAGCTTGGCTGCACTAATCCAGAAAAAAAGTGTTGACTGAGTTAGAAATTCATTCTTTATTGTTGCATATACAATAATCTAACCGTGAATTTCCCAACTGTGGGACAAAAAAAGACTTTCTTAAGTATGGATTATGGAAATAATAATTAATTTATGTATTAATGCAATATTATTTTTTAATAATTTTTAATATTCCATATTAAATATTAAAAGTTGGTAATTTAAGATGCAGTGCTATATATTGCTGTATATAGTGACAAAAATTTCTTTACCTATAATATCTGTGTTTTTTGTACTGAACAGTCAGCACAGGTGTGGCCCTGTAAAGGAATGACAACAGCAGCAGTAGCAGTGGCCCTCAGTAACTGAGTTTGAGACCGCCACTTTAGAGGTTGCTGCCCCAACATTAAAAAATGATGATCTCTGTTACTGGTGATCTACTGTAAGAAATAATTAACATACACACAAAGTCCCAAGTCCCACTCACCAGGTCTGCTCTGCCACTGGGAGGGGCCAGCTGTGACGACACTGGTGTACCGTGGTGTTATCAGAGCGTTGAAACGATTTCAAGTGGGTGACAATTGGATAAGGGATCATGATAATGAAGGCCACCACCCATGTGGCAGCAATCACTCGGTATGCATGGGATCTGGTCTGCCATACCCGTGATTTCAGGGGATTACAGATGGCGCTGTAGCGCTCAATTGCGATGGCAACCAGGCTGAATGTGGATATGCTGACTGAAATACCTGTGAAAAAAGAAAAATAGAAAGAGTAAAAACTCATTTAAAAAAATGTCATTTTCTTCTCTGTTCTGATTTTTGACAAACATCAGAGTGGCAATAACACGTTTGCACCATGTGGATGGAAGATCCGAAATCAGAGAAGAGTTTAGTCATCTTTGATGATGCAGTCAAAACAACTACATTATAAGATGCAGTATTGCTTATCTGAGTTCCAGGACAGAGGAAATCATTCTGGCCTCGGCCGTTGATGCAATCTTCCAGTGCTCTCTCCAGACAGGGGGAGACGGGAAATTACTTTTTACCTCTCTTACACCATCCTCAGGAAGAAAACATATTCTGTGTGTGTGTTTGTGTATCAGAACTGGTGGCTGTTATCTGTACCTACTCAAAAGAGCTTAAGAATAGACCCCCACGCTCAAACTGAGACCAGTGGGTCAGGAGGCTCCCTGAGGGTCCGTCTTTGTTCCATGGATAATCTGTCCACTGGGACATCGGTCTCAGAACTACAGAAAGTCACACTGGGATAAAGGGCTTCAACATGCATGGTCAATGTCCTCACACGACTGTCGATGTGGATCATTGTTCAGGACACAAAGCATCAGTGACACGCATGATTACTCCACCTTGAACAGAATCCAACCTAGGTGCATGTGGGGGGCGATGTTTTTCCTTCTCTTGGGTTTCTGTCATCTAATCTATGTGTTATCTTTTAAAATGAGCATCGTAAGTCTTCTCTTTATCACAACAAAGGCAAATATGTTATTGAAGGTTCACCGATGCCTTCAGGCGCACATCTGCAGTGAAAACCTGGGCGACAGTATTTGGGAGAACAGGTTGCAAAGGCTTTTAAAAAGTAAGAGATGAAAACGTATTAAAGGAACAAAATATATTTGAAGAAACAGAAGGAAAGAAGCAAAAATATTGAGAGGTAGAATTTAATCTTAAATAGTGACTTCAGTCTGCTGCAAAGTGATGCCTCGACACATCTGGGTAATGAGTAATTTCTGAGGTACTTGGAACTTTGAGAATCATGATTATGAAAATAAATCATTCAAAAAAGGGTGTTGGCTCACAACTTTGCAAACATTTTTTGGAGAAGGAAATTGGAAAAATCATTAGGGCTGTCAAATGATTTAAAATTGTAACCTGATTGATGTCAGGTTGGCTGTTGATTAATCCTGATTAACCAAGGTACAGAATCCACATTCCTAGACATGATAATAGAAATGTGAAGGTATTTACTTTAGTAAAACAAAACCCCTCTTTCCTGTATAAAGGACAAAATGTCTATCAACTGTGCATTACAGCAAATGGACCATGGAATTATTGGATAAAAAGTAACCGTCTTTCCTCACATGCTTTAAAATGCGTTGACATTTGTATCTGTGTCATTTCACAAATGATTCAAATGCTTACATTTGATGGTGATACCAATTTTCTTTAAATGAACATGACAAATGTCAAATTTATAAATTAAGATCCTGTTTGGATTTCGACCATTTCTCAGGTCCGTTAAGGACATCTATGTCACGTTGATTTATTCATCTGTTCAGGGTTTACAGGAAAGAATAACACATTTTCTTGGGGGACAGGCTGAACACTTAAGTCTGACATTTCCTTAACCTTTAAGCAAGGCTGAATCTTTTAATATCTTCCCTGTGATCTCAGTCTTACGTCCTTTTCTCGACAATAATTCCAAACACTACTCCTCCATTGACTGAAATTCCTAGTGACAGACACATTTCTAGCCTCTATTAAACGGCATTTGACCTCTAATCTGACAGAGCTTACCCCGAGTGATTGAAAGATGGCTGAGATGTGAATGGCATTTCATTGCTCACTCAAATTCAAAAATTCTTCTTCTGAGGAGAGGTCCAAACCAAAAAGGTTTCATATCAACACTTCACACATGTGCAGCTTTAGTCATACATAAAGGACAGAGTGTAACGGTGGTGTTTTTTTCTCTCTCATCTAATCTCGAATATTTCAAGTTCTTCAGGCTTTAATATTGGTTTGTCCAATTTAAAGGAACTTCACGTTGTTATAATGAATCACTGCAGTGTCCACCAGACTGATAATTATCCTGCCCAGTGACTTTTTAATCACGGTAACCATGGCCTTGGAATGCTCTTATTTAATCAACTGACTAATTCATCTGTATTCCTCAACCCCAACCAACCCCACTCCCCCGCCCCCTCACCACTCTTCCACTCACCCATGAGGTAGGACATGATCTTGCACATGGTGGCACCAAAGATGAAGTCCTGGAGGATATTCGGGATGAGGGTGAAGGGCATGCAGAAGACCACCATCATCAGGTCGCTGATGGCCAGGGACAACAGGAAAGTGTTGGTCACCGTGCGCATGCGCTTGTTGACGGTCAGCACTACGATGATCAGCAGGTTTCCAAACACGCTGAGGAAGAAGATGAGCGAGTAGAGCAGGATCCTCAGAGTGTGGTCGTCATCTGGTCCAGAGGAGAGAGTGTTTGTTTGACTGTTAATGCCTTTGTCCTACTTAAGCTGATCTGTTTGACAGTCTTAAGCCAACATTTGTTTTATGTGACTGTTTTTCCCTGGTGTAGTGTAGTACACAGTGGTACAGTACTGTAGAGTCCACTCTACCTTAGATTATACAGCCACTTGAGGTTAGACAGTGAGGATTTTGTGCGGTTCGTTAAGCCTAATTATCTAACTGAAGGTTGAATATATTGAGAGTGAAAAATACATTCAATTCAAAAAATTTGAACTGCTTTCAAATCCATTAAAGGGCAGAATCAGCTAGAAGCCATAGATTTACAACTGAAGTCTGTAAATTAAAAAGAAAAAAAACATATAAAGTGGGTTTTCGTGCAATTTTGAGATTTGGCTGGGGGGCAAAATTAGATGAAATACCATAAACAGACAGTAAATGCAGCATGGGGTCCGTCGTTAACCTCTGGTCGTTAATTGCAGTCAAATAAATCCAACAAAGAAGCACCAGTTCTGCTTTAACTCCGTTGCTTTGGCCTCTGTGTTATTCCCCTGACAGTATCTGTGTTGTTCTATTTCTGATTTATTCATGTATTTCATGACCTCTTCTCTGTCTTATAAAACTCTCCTAAAGCACGGCAAGGGTTTTCTCTTTATTTTTATCTCCGATTTTACAGTCGCTTGCCACTGCCACAAAAATGCCACCACATATAGATGTGTCCTAAAGAAACTAGAGACATTGATATTGTGTTTATAGACTTGAGACAGATTCATTTTTTCACTAATTTACTAACCCTGCATTTGATTAGACCACTTCTAGACAAGATACTAGTGAAAGATATTGATATAATTGTGTTGTTGTTGGTTAAAAACATATCAATACAAGGAAACAAGGATGAAAAATGACTTTCTGTAGATCTGAAATTTACTAATAAAATGATCTATGTACATTAAATGAGGAAATGTCTACAGGGTGCTGACGAATAATTGAACTATGAAAGATATTTGCAGCAGATAGGGGAAGAAAACAGCTCTCTGCTCGATGTTGAAGATGTTTCTGATCTAAAATAATGGCCCTGAGATCGTTTTAACAAAGCACTGAGGCCTGCAGCATAAATCCTGGCCAAAGCCTTTATCCGTTTAGCAGCACCACTGGATCATGTCCTATTAAAGCCACCAGTTATTTAGTTCCTTTCTTATCTTCACTCTACCCCATGCTCAGAAGCAACTCTCTTATACAACCTCACCCACTGCACTTACGATGGGATTCAAAGGCACCCAAGAGAGTCCAAACCATATCAGTGAGGCAGCAGCAGGTGCACTGAATCCAACTCAATTTTTAATCTTCAGAAAACTTGAAAAAAAAACGTCTTTCTCAAAGAAACCAGTGAACTGCATCTTCTGTTGGTCTGATCTGAACAGGAAACATCATAATTTCAGTGCTAAGCATACATTGGCACTAAATGGGGTCCCATCTGGACCGTTTTACAACATATTTTTCATTTTTCAGGAACCTCTTGACCTTCATGCTTCTCTATCCCAGCATTCAGTGTTTTCCTCCCTTGGCTGAAATGAACTGCTATTTCCGTTTTCTTTTTTTTTTTCTTTTTCTTTTTCCAATCGCAGTTAAAGTAGAGAAAAGCAGCGGAGCAGCCACACTACATGGACATGACTCATACAGTCTGTGAACACAGTCTCAGTGAAATACATAACAGCTTTGCTGAGCTTTTTTTTTTTTTTACTGCACCTCGATGTTAGCCTTTCTTCATTATGAAAAAAACATCAGTATATGTAACAAAAACATTTTTTTTTTCTTTTTTCACAGATTACACAGAAATTGTTTTAGGTCAGCAAAAACTAGGAAATGTACCAAATCCTGAAAATAATCTTGGTCTGGTTCATCTTCATGTTAAAAAATCTGACGCTGTTCTCATTGGACCTGTGGCAGGAGAGGGAAACCATTATGGCATATCCTCTTACACTTTCCATCCAACTATATTAGTCCTCACAGCTTGTGAGCAACAACACTGAATAACACTGGGATGAAACAGTGGTGCGAAGTTCTCTGGAGAAACACTGTGAAAGACTGGAGTCGCCGAGCGACTTCCCAGACAACATTAGGACCATTACATAAGTCAACACCGACCATTTGGCGAAGCTTTTTTGCACTCCGAGCCGACCATTATTTTCAGTGCTATTTACAGTTCAAAGAGCCAAATGACAGAAGGGAAGTCTGTTGCACTGGAGACGCAGACACAGCAGCTCCTTTAATCTGGGTGTGCTGCTCATGGTCATGTCCGACCGCTGCCGGAACACAGAACACACATATATCTTCTCCTCAATATATGCAACAGCAAACTACTCTTGAATTTCCATTTCTTCCCTTCACTGAATCAACCGTGATAAGATGGCTGTTGTTCCTGTCAGACCTATGTGTTGGAAAATGTCACAGCCTCAGACTACATCAACAGAGTAAATGTCATCCACAGTTTGCCACAGAGCCGAGTGGCACGTATGGACTTGATGAGGTACAAATACTACTGGAAGAGACGGCAGCATGCAGTCCGTAGTGAGTCGCAGTAGTCAGAATTAGAAATAACAGCTTGGTTG